AATATGAAGGCATTTGGAGAAACATGCTTTTCAGGGAGCATTTTTTAATCTGATGGTCTTCCACACTTGCACAATATCAATGATAACGCTTACAAATTATTTTTCACCTGTCCCAGAACTGAACCTTCTCTTTAACGCCCTGCTGGTTCTCAACACATTTTACAAGCCGTCCTATTAGACATCAAATACTTTAATAGAGTTATAGATTAGAGGTGACGTGGTCGAGGCAAGTGGATACGACATCGGACTGTGGCTCAAATAGTTCACGGTTCCAGTTCCGCCACGGCAATAGTGTCCTATGGCAAGACATTAATCTGTATTTGCCACTCTCTACCCAGGTGTTAATACGGTACTCAGTAGGATGTCAACGTTAATGCGGTTTGATAATCACACGTGTAAAACGACGCCTTGCCGAAAGAAGATGCGCAGATTAGTTTATCTCTGTAGGCCTATGCATTGATGATGGATTATCATTCTATTACTTGAAATATTTCCTGCTTCTCTGATTTATTGTTTTCCACAACCATTACAATTTAGACAATAAAGCAAGATTATAGATGTGCATGAAATTGTATCTTTTAATTTGAACATTTTTTTAATTCCAATAATGTCAAAAATGATTTTAACAGTGATGGGCATATATGGGCACGTTTTAATAATAATAATAATAATAATAATAATATAATAATAATAATAATAATAATAATAATAATAATAGCCTAATAGCCTAATAGTCCACCCCAAATTTTCTTAAACCGAAACGGAAATTCTTTTTGCCCAATTGATCGTGAGCCCGGCGGCCACTGAGCAGCGCCAGACCGACGTTGCTCTATCCCTTATTGTTGAACGCCAAACAAGGTAGCAACAAATCCCATCTTTTAACGTCTTTTGGTATGACGCGGCCGGGGTTCGAACCCACGACCTCCCGGTTGTGAGGCGGACGCTCTACTTACTGAGCCAACACTCCGGTTATACCTCTTTAAAAAAAAAGTATTATGGCTATCATATATTTTTTCTTCATATTTTTGTGAAATAAATTGCTCTTACGTGTATGGGACGAACGAAGGAGTAATAATCCCAGCTGACACAGGAGAAACTGGAAGCAAGAATGATTAAATAAAATATACAATAATGTAAAGAATGATTTCCTCGCTTCTTAATGTTCTACGTCTGATGGATACGCTTGGTTCTTCAAGGTTACATTGCCATCCAGTCGAGCGCACTGATCTGTAGGGAAAATCCCTGCAGATCAGTGGTCAAGAGGATTAGGCAAATGTATTGTTTACCTTGGTTCTACAGACTTCGAAATTGGATCGTTAAAAGAACTACGAACGACAAATGTCAATAAGGCATAATTATTTAATTGATATTGATGCCAGTGTACAGTAAACAATTTTTGTTTGACCAATAACAAGTGTTCTCAAGTAAATGAATTCAAAGCTTCATTTCGCGGCTTGATGTAAATTTCAATTCAATTTTTATTTATTATGACAAAAAAACAGTACCAACAAACAGACTAAAAGCAGTCCGAAAACATTCATAGAGCCACAATTACCACCCCACCCCACCACCACCACCACCACCACCACCACCACAACAAACGTATGTTTGGGCATATTTTAAATTAATTTGTTGTCTTTGATGTCGTCTTAGAGATGAGTAACTTACCCTTTTTAAAGACATATTTGCAAGTAAGCAACGGAGACGAGTACATATAATATGAATGCAATGACGATGACGATGTCGTGTTGTTGATGTCTTTGATGATGTTTATGATGATGACGACAACAACGATAATGATAATGGTGAAGATAAGGAGGAGGAGGAGGAGGAGTAGAAGGATGGTGGTAATGACAACAACGACGACGGTGATGATGACGATGATAAGGTGACGATGATGGTGATAATGTTTGTGACAAGTTAAATCACATGAACTGTAGATATAAATGGTTAAAGAAGGCTGCCACAAGGAAACCACTTTCAGCAGATTTAAGAATTAAACTATTTCAAATAATTGTTCTCCTTTCGCATGCTCCTTCAGACTAAGTCACTAATCTGAGATGAATCTATCATAGTAGATGGATTTCATATCACTGGCTTTACAACTGGTAACACTCCTTACAGCTTTCACATACAGAATATCACTTATGAAATATTAACCAAACCCTTTTATTTTTATTTTACGACGTCAAAACGGCGCATGAAATCCTTGGAATTACTACTTGGTTGATCAAACTGGGTTTATATACAAAGTTGTATAGACCATTAACCCATAATCATGCTATACTCTCTAAACAGGGGGTGAGGTGGGGGGAGGGGGGCAGGGGGGGGGGAGATACTCCACCAGGAAAGTGCATCCCACCCCCTCCCCTACCCCCCAAAATGCATAGCAAGTAAAAGTAAGTGCTATATAACGCGCTCTGATGTGCTTCTTCACGCAAAGTTTCACTATTGAAACAATATATTAATCTTGCGACACTCGTCGAACTAAATTAAAAAAAAAGACAAGTATAGATATTACGATTAACACATTAAAACACATGCCCAACTACGGAATGCAAACATTATTATTCACTCTGTGCCTAAACGCCCCCAAATAATAATATTAGCTTACCAAGGGCAAAGTTTTATACTGCAAGGTGCAAAATATTCATATGGGAGGTCGGGGGGATATACATTCACATACCCTTCTCCGCTCGCTCGCTTTAGCTTCCTCTAATTTAAGTCCTTTCCCTCAAGTGAAATCGCAGCCCCTGCCTGTAAGATATCCACTCAAGAAGTCCATTGTCAAGCGTTTTTAGTGTTTTGCATTAATTAATCATCGTGAATACAGCAGCATAAAAGGGTCAAATATACTCATCAAGTAAGGGTCAACGCACGACCTACTTTATCATTCTTTCATCTTAGGGGTAAATCGCTATAAAAAGGAATGAGGTCAGGTCAAGTGAGTACATTGTGAAAATCTAGAAGCAACTGAAAAGGGTTTTATTGATATATACTGTGAAGTTTTTTGTTATCTTGAAAATGATAACAATTGGACTCAATATTTCTAAAAGATATAGATACATACATCAATGTATATTGCCATTTATACAAACATGAATGTGTATAATGGACAAGCACACACATGGTCATGGTCCAAACTCTTCAGCTATTTCTTGTCATATTTCGAATTTGAGGGCATTTAAAAGGATAGTTGAGTTATGTTGCAGAGGGCGCTACACAAAATATTTTTTTGTGAGAAAATTAAAAACTGAGTGTCAAATTTGACAAAACATATAATTTAGATATCAAAATCATCTTTGTTTGATCAAAATCGGTTTAAAGACGGCTGAAATATCAATAAATATAACCATTTTTAATATGTGTGTACCACCACAAATATTAGATAATTTGAACTAGCCGTTGAAAAAACGAAATAATAATAATAATCTAATAGTCCACTCCAAATTTTATTAAACCGAAACGGAAATTCTTTTTGCCCAATTGGTCGTGAGCCCGGCAGCCACTGAGCAGCGCCAGATCGACGTTGCTCTATCCCCTTATTGTTGAACGCCAAACAAGGTAGCAACAACTCCCATCTTTTAACGTCTTTTGGTATGACGCGGCCGGGGTTCGACCTCCTGGTTGTGAGGCGGACGCTCTACTGACTGAGCCAACACTCCTGATACGTTTTATTCCAGCCAATCCCGATGTTGGCTTTTTCGTCTTGGTTATAATACGCACAACCAACCGGCCCATGTATTGTTATTATTGGACAGGTGGTTATCTCATCAAATCAGCTCTCAAATAACATAAGAAAATGGTCACCGATTAGGCATTGTATGCTATATAGAGGGCGCAATGAAGCTACAAGCAGTGCAGTGGGCCTTTAATGTTGAAGGTTCTTTCAGACACGGCGCGGTGACCCGCCGCAAAAAAACTCGCCGCTCGCACAACAAAGGACTTACATTTATTCACTGAGCTCTGAGTAATGGTAAGCGTATTACACCAGGGGGTATTTCACAAAGACTAAGATCGACATTTAGTTGGACTTAACTATAGGAGGCCATTCATGCCACTGGTTGCCCTCACCGTTACGATCTTTAGAGAATGTTTTTTCCTTCGATAATGAATTATTTAAGAAAGGTAAATTCTGTAGATTTGTGACCATGATTTGTACGTCCCTTGAGAGACCAATGCCAGTAATGTAATCACCATCATCTTCAGAAATAATAATAAAACAACAACAAAACTACGAAACAAAAATTCTACAAGTGACTACGTCATCATCATCATCACTATCACCACCATCATTATCATCATCATCGTTGTCGTCGTCTTCGTCATCATCACCATCACCACCACCATAATCATCATTATCAAACTATCACCAAAAATACTCAGTGTGTCAGTTCGACAAAAAATGTGGCATCACCTGAATTAAAACTATTAGAATATTTAATATGAATGCAATAACAATATAGGCCTTATTTCACAATAACTTGTACTTCTAATATTGATATTTCTTGCAATATGTTATTTATTTCTAAGTAATCTAAAAAAGAAACAGAAGTAAATATCTGTACTACTACTACTATACTACTACTACTACTACTACTACTATTACTACTGCTACTACTACTACTACTGCTACTACTACTACTACTACTGCTGCTACTACTACTACTACTACTACTACTACTACTACTGCTACTACTACTTCTACTACTACTTCTACTGCTACTACTACTGCTACTACTACTACTACTACTACTACTACTGCTACTACTACTACTACTACTACTACTACTGCTACTACTACTACTACTACTACTACTACTGCTGCTACTACTACTACTACTACTACTACTACTACTACTGCTACTACTACTACTACTACTGCTACTTCTACTACTATTAATACTACTATTACTACTCCCATATGTACCACTTTGTCCGTTTTTCAAAACGAATGAATGCAAAGTCAAATATAATATTAGTACTGATTCAAATAAACTGCTAAAATAAATAATACGTTATAATAAATACTCCAATAATTTACTATGTACATGTAGCTGATACTACGCCTTAAATAGCAATCACCAATAGATAGGTAAGCATATCTTCGCTGAAACTGCGATATAAATAGATTATGAAAAGAAGCACACATTTCTGAAAGAAAACAATTTCGTCATGATTTAGATACATAAATAGGAAGTATATTACATGATATTTAGTTTCAATCAAGAGGCTGGGAGTTATAATTGTATGATTTTGTCCTTTGATAAATAAAGGTTTTGTCTTCGTGAATAAGTAAAATAAGAGCCTTGATATAACTCTCTATGTGGTTGGTTTCTTCATGGAGTTACTAACTCCATGGTCGAACTCCCCCACCCATATGACAAACCGTCTTAACCTTTATTTCTATTTCGTGTTATCAGACACTAGAATTCTTGATATGTCAAAACGGCTTGCCATACGCCCATATGAAAACCTGACTATGTGGATTGCTCTTGATCCGGGTGTGTATGTGTGTGTGTGTGTGTGTGTGCGTGTGCGTGTGTGCGTGTTTGTGTCGTATTTCAGAGTGGTATGAAGAATTTAGTCTGATATGAAACCACATCGAGCGCTCGAATACACTTGCTATGAATTCAAAAAATATTAATATTTAATTTAATAAAGTCAAATTGTGATCAATTTACCCAAGTCTCAAATGTTTATGTCTGGTTTATAGATAAATCTGCATCGCTAGCACCTAGTAGGCAGGAGGATTTTGTTGAACTTAAATAAATAAGTCTCTACTGGTTTTCAGGTATTTACAAATGTATCTCAGAGAGTCAAAATGTCCGACTGGTTTTAGTACTCGCCAACACTATATTCTTCTCAGAAAGATCCGCATCCTATCCAATCTTTAGAGCGGGATTTCCGATAAGCACCCACCATCTTGCTATCTTCAAATTTCCAATAATTGTCATTCTTAAAGAAGTACGTGGTTCCATTCCGCCCTTGCAAAGCAGCATCTATATTCGCCGGTATTCCCCTCCAGTGATGGCGAATCTTTTTAGACCATCCGATGTTCAGATCATTCTCGAAGAACTCATAGTAGCGACCACCTTTGAGGATGTATATCTTGCCGTCATCGATCAGAGCAGCATCGGTCGAGTGGGGAAAACTGTTTTTCCTGGGACGGGGGAAACCTGGCTCCAGCTGCTTCCCAAAGAATCGCCAAATGTTGTTACCTGAGGAAATGTTACAAAACAGGAAATAAGTTGGAATTTTGTAGAGCTAGTAAAGAATGCATACATTCTGTACCGAACTTCACAGACTAAGAAGGCAAGGCGATGAGATGGGATCGGAAATAGTTTGCCATTTCGCTAGTGACGAATACATAAATGTTGTCTAAAGATTCACGACATCTTATAATGTTAATAAGCCTGTCTTTTATTGCATGATAATAATCTGAGCTTATAGCGCTTTATACATCGAAGGTGTCTCTAACCCTTTACAGAATATTACCATTAGATTCAGGATTGCTCGCACACACTCTGTGCACTTTCTCCGCTCCCCGGGGAGTATTCAATCTAAGGGCAATTGTACAGACTGCCAAAATGCCAAGCACACCAGAATAAGATTTGCATCCTACCAGGTACCCATTTCACACGTAGGCGGAGAGTGGAAGATGTGGTTGTATGTCTTCTCAAAGGACGTTAGTACTGGGCTTGGATTCGAACCCTCAACCCTTGGATAGAGGGTCAAGTGAACAAACCACTATACCATGACACGTCTAAAAGTGAAATATTGTATGGACTGCCATATGATTAAAACATTTTTATGACTAATAAAGCCCAAATATCTTGTGTTTTTTCATCTGTGATTACCTTTGAACATGTATGTCCTGCTCCCAGCAGAAACAACGGAGTGTACATTTGAGGGCGCCTCACTAAAAACATTGTTAGTCTTTGTCGGGTACCCTTCCACGACTCCCTGATCGTTGATCGCCCAGACGAACTGCCCTTTGAATGCGTACACGACATCGCCAGGAGCTATAATATAATGAAAAATGGTAACGGAGATTGGAATATAAAACGTCATGCACTTTGCGTGTGTATAATATGAGGTTTTGGAATCATCAAAATGGAAAGAAATTAGATCAGTTTTGCTGACAGTTAAATGTAGAGTGCACAGAAAATATGGGACTACATACACAAATGTGGCACGAAACTTTCGTTCGAATGCTTCACCTATTTCTTGTCATAATATAAAATGTGTGGGCATTTGAGGAGCAACTTTTTTCAGGGACATTTTTTCTAGGATTTTCTTCAAAAAAGAATTCAAAAGCTCAGACCGTATTTTTCACATGTCCCGGAACTCAACATGCACTTTGAAATATTATTTGCAGTGTGTACGTATATAAGAAAAAGCAAGAATAACAAATATATATATATATATATAAAACCAAAAGATGCTTCTGTAGTAAAGAGTTGATGTTCATAAACTGAAAAGTTTCGGACACAAGACGTCAGTGCCCCTAGCGAAGGTATTGCCCGTGACTCGGCCCTTACGCTTTTGATCAACTTCTCGGAGATAATAGTTAACAGGTTGTACAGGTACCCATTTATCATGTGGTTGGAGAGTGGCAAATGTGTACTTATGTCTTGCAAAATAATATTAAAGCTGGGCTGGGATTTGAACCCTCAACCCTTAGATTGAGTGTCAAGTGAATGATCCACTATACCGAGGCACCTTAAATATAAACTTGAGTTCTGGTAAAAAAAAGAAAATGAATTCTCACAGAATCTAACGAAACTAACACTGAATGTTCAAGATTACAAATAAATGTCATGTGCCAAACAATTTTGGAAGAAAATGTATACTGGCTGAGTAATGATCATAGAAAGATAAGGAAATCAGGGTAGTACTAGCCCTGACACCATGTGTGTTGTCCCATATACATCTATCTGTGTAAGTGATTGCTACTTTACTAAGACTCTGCCAAACTTATGATGATTGTAATGACTCTAAAACCTTGCATTACACACCATTACTTACATGCTATATGATCAACTTTTCTGATCCATTCCACACCTTTTATTTCACAATGCAATCGCATTACCAGTACTCAAGTTTATTTTTAAATTTCTATGTTGGGAATCAAATTAATTCACATCAAACCTATTCCTCATCTTACCATAGTATGTAGCGGCATCCCATGGGCTGTCACAGGCAGGTAGGTTCTCAATATCACTGGTCCCAATTTCTAGTTTAGTCAAAGTAAGATCAACATCTGGATAACCTAGTCATAGGAAGCAACGAAAACAGCGATCGTTTGTTACAATATTCTTCGTATTATATTATTACATAAAATATTTTAAAATACGTAAAAAACTGCTGGGATAGAGAGATGCTATTTGTCTATGGATGTACACAAATATCTGATTTATATGATTTGTGCACCTATTTTCATTTGTTCATAACATAATACCATTTCTCTCCTCCCCTATCTCTTTCTCTCGCTCTCTCTCTCTCTCTATCTTTCTCTCTCCTTCCCATTTCTCTCTCCTCTCTCCCCTCCCCTCTCTCTCTCCCCCTCTCTCTCCCTTCCCCTTTCGCTCTCCCCCTTCTCTCTCTTTCTCTCTTTCTCTCTCTCTCTCTCTCTCTCTCTCTCTCTCTCTCTCTCTCTCTCTCCCTTCCCTCTTTTTCTTTCATTGATGTAATCTATTCACGAGGAGGAGGTACATACAATGCAGAGGCAGAGATAAGTGCATCAAATAACTGACTGTCTTACCATACAGGTACTGAATGCCATCTATATCATCTTGGTGCAGGTTAAAGTCCTCCACAAAACCGTTGTAAATAGGACTCATAACAGCATGGGAGTTGCTGGAATGACCCAGTCCGAGTACGTGGCCGAACTCGTGAGCGGCTACGATGGCGAGGTCAACACCGCCCGCTGCCATGACCGTATACGTTTCGTCTTCGTCGAAGTGGACGATGCCATGCGGGGGGTAAGACGCGTGCGCGAGATATCCGCCTGTCGTGATTAAAAGAGAAAACGGACATGGAGAGACATCCGTCAATTAAGTAAGAAGATATTGCCCTTTTGCTATCATAATGAAAGTAGTGCACTGCATGACTCATTCCCTATGGCTACTGTTGAAGGAAATAAAGGAGGAATATCATCAATTATTGTAAAAATGACAACATTGATTTTCTTTTATAGGATTTGATTTTTAAGATTAGATATTTATCTTTTGTCTTAAAACTAGATATTTTGTAACTCTTTAATAATGATGATAATATGAATAAAGAATCATTTTAACTTTCACGAAAGCACGACAATTTTCAATAGTAAATGTCATTAATTCATGGATAATTATAGTAAAAGTATAGTTAGGGATACATTATAGATCGGAAGCGCTTGCATGATAATCTTGTAAACATTATCTCTTCTTCCATTCGAGACTAATTACCTGGTCCATCAAACTGTTTCAGCTCCATTGGGTATGCATCATTGTGCTCATATCTTGTTACGAAGTCGATGACGATGTCGGCAGTGGCGTTTGATGACTCGTTAAACGACAACGGAGACACATTGGCCCATAGTTGGAAAGCTCTTCTGATAGCGTTCCTGGTTTGAAGGCGAGAAAGATCTGGAGTGAAGCTCTTGATATGGTACGTCAAGTTGTTCTTCGTCCATCTTCCTCCTGTATTTAGATAACAAAGTAGAGGTGTTGTGGACTAGTGGATTAGACACTGGACTGTAGATCTCAAGGTACGAGGCTCAACTCCCGGCCCGGCATAAACGGTAATCTACGTTTGCCACTCTCCACGGCAGGTGTAAATGAATAGGCTTACCTGATATGCCTGAGCACTAATTATTTTGGTGGCTCGGCTATAATGAGGGTAATAATGTCTATTTGCTTAGCATCATGAGCGTCACTGCTTGACGGATATGTAATTGACTGACCATTTGAAAGAAAATTGATGTCTCCCCCATTAGAAGAAGAATAATGATGATTTGAATTGATTTGATTTGATTTATTGGTTTCTGCATCTTTTTTTCATCAAACATTTTCATGAACATAATATGGTTTGATACAATATGTTAAGTGTATATAATTTTATACAGATAATAAACGAATTTAAACAAATATATTGAATGCATAATTATACATTAGATGCAGGAGGGCTACAGAAATAAGCAAAGTAGCTTGACGTGCCCGCAGCCCTCAACTTAGATACAACAATACAAATACAAATAAAAAGAGGGACTTGCAGAGAAGAAAAGGAAAGGGGAGAGAAGGAGCGTTGGTAATAATACAATAAATCTCATACATCTGCTGATTGAATGCAGGTTCATTCATGAATGGCTAAACGATGCTAGGTCATGGACGATTACACATAATTGTATAATATACAGTCAATATACACACGAACATGAATACAGTACAATTGCACACGACAGGATCAATACTTAGACAATAACATAGTTTTAACCGCCTTCTTAAAAGAATACAATGTCCTAAGGTTTCTTATTACAATGGGCAGAGAGTTCCAAATGTCTGGGCCGGCGTGTGTAATGGATTTGAGAGCCAATGCGGTTTTGGGATTTCTTAAATGGAATTTTTCAGTTTGCGTTGTAGGGTAAGAGTGGATGTTTTTTCTTCAAATTAAGCAATGGGGGAAAGTATGAAGGTAGTAGGGGGGGGGGGGGGGGGGGGGGGGGGGGGAAGTGAGCACTTTTTTTTTTTTTTGCTCCCGAAAATTTGAAAATCGCGCCGGCCGAAAAGTCGAACAGTGGAGGGGGGGGGGGGATAGTGTGCACATTTTTTTTTTGGCCCTTGAAAATTTGCACCCCCTTGAGCTCTAATCCCATGCTTTATTACCGGGTCTTAATTTGGAAGACGGAGGGGTCTTAGTTTAAAAGGTTTTTTCTTGTTTTGTTTTGTTTTGTTTTGATTTTTTGTTTTTTTAAACTTTTGAATAACCGGGTCTGGAGGAAAGACTACGCTCGATACTCATGTTCTTCCACAGGAATAAGATGATGGGGTCTTATTTTTGAAGATTATTAAAACGTTTTGAAATAACCGGGTCTGGAAGAAAAACTACGCTATAAACCCATGCTTTATTACCGGGTCTTAGTTTGGAAGATGGTGGGGTCTTAGTTTAATTTTTTTTTTTTTTTTTTAAACTTTTGAATAACCGTATCTAGAGGAAAGACTACGCTCGATTCTCATGTTATTCCACAGGAAAAGGATTATGGGGTCTTAGTTTTGAAGATTTTTTAATTTTTTGAAATAACTGGGTCTGGAGTAAAGACTGCGCTATACCCATGCTTTATTACAGGGTTTTAGTTTTGAACAAATTCGACAAAATATCACTTCAAATTTATTACATTTGTGGGTAAAGTCATTATTACATTTGTGGGCGATTCAAAATTATTACATTTCAGTGTGAAATTATTACATTTGTGGGTGTTATTACATTTGTGGGTAAAGTGTTATTACATTTGTGGGTATTATTACATTTGTGGGCGTTATTACATTTGTGGGTAAAGTGTTATTACATTTGTGGGCGTTATTACATTTGTGGGTGTAACAGGCCCCCCCCCCTTGGATCAGCCACTGCTTGGGGCACTCCACACGTTATAGATACTAATTCTGATTCATTTGAATCATAACATACATATTGTTTTCTATTTGTTAAATATTTTTTTTTAAACCATTGTTTAGCAACACCCCCTCAATCTATAGTATTCAAATTTACGTATCAGTATTGTATGGTCAAGAGTGTCAAATGCCTTACTCATATCCATGAATACTCCAATAACATGCTTATGATCAGTTAAAGCTTATCTGCCGTAGTTTACAGGAGGGATTATACTGCCCTGCAAGGTCACTGGACAGGTGGTTATCTCATCAACTCAGCTCTCAGTTAACATTAGAAAAAGAGGATCATGGGGGACCAATGGTCACCGATTAGGCATGGTTTGTTATATAGAGGGCGCAAGTAGCTACAAGTAGTGCAGTGGGCCTTTAAGGCATTTGACACTCTATCAAATAATTGTAACAATGCTAACTCCGTTGAATGAATTTTTCTAAAACCATCCTGATTTTCATTCATTTTTTGTTAGAAAATCATACAGTCTATTATAAGTCAATTTTTCTAATACTTTAAAAATACTTGGTAAGCTAGAAACAGGTCGGTAATCTGAAACTAGAGAAGGGTCGTCTTTTTTGTGTATTGGAATTACTTTTGCTATTTTCAGTGAGTCCAGAAAGACTCCTGTTGTAAGTGATAAATCACAAATGTGTACTAGAGGCGTTAAAGTACTTCCTGTTATTTGTTATAAAAAGTGCGTACTCATCTCATCATGACTACAAGAATAACTTATTTTCAATGAATTGACAATATTCAAAATTTCAACACAGTTTGTAGGCATAAAGAAGAACGATTTATCACATGGATTTGAAAGGAGTTGTAAATAATCTGAACCATTGGAATTTATTTTCGATGCCTGAACAGGGCCTACATTAACGAAATACTTGTTAAAACAATCTGCTATATCTTTAGAGTCTGAAATTGTCTGATCGTCATTGTTAATATTAATTTTTGACTTGGTCTTTTGCTTTCGAAGAGTTTCTTTTATGACTTTCCAGGTACATGCCATATTGCCGTTAGCATTTTCAAATTCTTTTACATAGTATATTTTACGAGATAGTCTAATTATTGATGTTAATTTATTCCTATAACATTTATATTCGTATTTATTCTCGTTACTTAGATCACGGAGACTACGTTTGTACAATATATTTCGTTTCTTAATTGAACGGAATATTCCCTTCGTTATCCATGGATTGTGTGGTTTTCTTTTCTTTTTATTTTGTTTAGTCTTTGGAATACATCTATCAAAGTGGGCTGAAAATATATTCCAAAATAGTCCATGTACAGTATCAGTTTCAAAATAATAATGAAAAATGGATGTTATGTAGAAAGGGTAAAGACATCAGTATTAATATTGCTCTTCTTGCGGGTCTTCCAGTATTTAATAACTCAGCTCTTTCCATGTACGCATATATATCTTGGTGAAGAGTGGCACATGTGTATTATTATATTACCAAAGGACATTAGTGCCGGGCTGGGATTCGAACCCCCAACCTCAGATTGAGTCAGATTGAGTCAGATTGAGAAAGACATTTTACCTAACGACACTTTGTTTTGATAATAAACGACTTTAATGATTGCTGTTTTATGTTACAGGGTAAAATTGTAAAACGAGAACTATAGAAAAATGCAGGCTTCTTGTATCTCAAGAGTTCATATCATCCATAACACAAGGTGTTTTTTGGTTGTCGTGCTCACAGTATTCCAGGAATTTGCGTACCGAGTACCAATTTTACTAAACCCGGGTAGAAAGTAACAATGATAGATTAATGCCTTGTCACAACACTCCAACTACGCATCCCAGTAGCTATGCCACTTTTCTAACCTATATCTGTAGAACAACAAAAAACAGAATTATTCAAACCTTTTGGCGTAAATCTTCCCAGGCCCTTGGTTTCGCCTGGCCGCTGATCGCTCATGTCGATATCCATCATGTCTTCTACGCCGCATATCTTGGCCTGTATGAAATGCAAGTGTGTAGTTAGGGTCGGGTTCGGTGAATCATGAATACCGAACGTACGAGAGGCGGGGTACCGGACGGGGCAGGGAGCTGAAACTCCCCGGGAATTGTTTAATTACCAATATTTAGGAAACCATCACCTCATCCCGGCACCTCATGTCTCAAATTCTTATGAAGCTATAAGTATATTTCTGTGTTCGAATTCCATATTTTACTATCGAAACTTGTCATACTTATAAAGGATATACAATGGTACACTTTTATTCAAGTTATGCATGCATACATTGACCGATATTTTAATAAGAACTATAATCATAACTGTTATGATATGATGCCTGAAAGATATTGAACATGATATAAACTTACGTTGGGGGTCAGCCCTGTTTGTTCCTCAAATGAAGTTTCTGTCGTTTTCTTCCAAGCTGGGGCCGATAAAACACGAGACACGCAGCAAAATACGAACATCGATAGAATAACTCTTGAGCTCATTTCAGATGGTAATAGCGCGATTCAGTTGCAATGAATATGGTGAATACAAATAATGTCAGACTTTAAAGAATGCTAGAGTTTTATTTGAACATTTAAATGCAACACGAAGAAGGCGTTGTAAAAGAAGTTAGTACATTGTGTTCATATTTCGTTCATGCTTTACTGTAAATAAGGTGAAAACGTCAGGGACATGCAAACATCTATTAACAGAAATGGCCTTTGATTTATATATCTCATAAAAAAATTCAAGTGCTATATTCGCAGTATTGGAAATTCAATGCATGATTTAATCGTTTCATGTTGGTTTACTTTCGTTTGATATTCCCTATTTATACACAGAAATACAGCGGGTAAAGCCACTGAATACTTCCTGCTCACCCAACATGATGACGTTCAGTTGTAAATAAGTCGAAGAGGGGAAAGTAAAGAACAGTTTATTTCAGTCGTTTGACGTATACGTTCATGATCATAGGCTGATCCAGGGGCGTGGGGGCGCACGCCCCCTTATTGCCTCAAAACAAAAAAAAGGACAAAATCTAAGAAATATTCACATAAACGTTCAGTTTACTCATTCAGAAATGCCTCAGAATGTACCATAGGCATAAAGCATCTGCAGGGACCCTCAATCAGGCCCCGGACCCCACATCGTAAAGTTGTTGTTTGATTAGGTTTTAGGGTAATTCAGTCAAAATTGACTATTTATGCCTTTTAATGCCTCGCATTTTTATACATTTCACGCCCACCCAGCCCCCCCCCCCCGGAAAATCCTGGATCCGCCCCCGATGATAGTATAGGAAGTGAATCTAATGGGATTATAAACGATCAAACAAAACGTGCCCATGCATGCCTGTTGTTTATTCATTCAGACGTTTCATCATTGGGTCACATACTATTACAAATCGCTTGTTTTGCATACTTTGCTATACAGTAGTACAGAGCACATCGGTGAGTCTCTTAGTTTAGACACTAGGGGACTTTAAGATTTACACGACGGCATAGTGTACTGATACGTGTGACGACCTTTTAAGACACAGGTGCCTTAAAAGGGCGTCACACGTAGCAGTCCACGCAAATCTCTAAAAGTCCTTATTATGTTACGCTTGACGGTTGACAAGGGTTTGTGGGTGCAAGCTAGCTAGCTAGGCTATTAAAGGTGCTGTCAGGGGTGGATCCAGCCGGCGGCAGGGGAGGGAACCCAATTCGAGAGAAAATATTTAGCGGCGAAAAAGCTGGCCGATAATTCGCTCAGTTTGGGGGGGGGGCGGCCCCCCCCCCTTGGATCCGCCACTGGGTGCTGTATAAGTTCCCTTATAAACACAAGAAGAACATGACTCACTGTTTATGTTCATTTTCCTCAAATTATGACGTCATCTTTAGACTATTGTCCAGCAATAGCAAAAGTCAAAATAGAAAGGAAACGCAGGCTATTGGTCATTTTTATTGTTTGGAAACAGATAGCATTTCAGAAAAATCAATTTCTTGAACTATAAAGCGCAAAATACTCAAGGGAATACAGAATCAAAGGGAACAAAAAAAGAATAGACCACCGATCGATCATTGAAATAGAATCTTCAAATACTCGATCTTTTTGGAAGAGAAAACAAATTGCAGAGTTGTGAATGTCACATTAAAAAAAAAAAAAAGAGTCTTACGTTTGTTTTCCAAGGCTTGCCACAACTGTGACTCATGCCTGTTCGTTAAACCTTTATGGCATCTATTATTTCCGCGGCTTCTTCCTTCCTTGTCAACTTCGTTGGTATTACTTTACTTCGTTTTCACGGAAAAAGAGGCTCCAAGATTTCGATGTATTTTTTAAAATATTTATTTTAGTTTGCAGGAAAATATGGAAGAAAACAATGGAGAGTAGACTGTTGCGTATTTCCTTTCTGCTTAACATCAGGGGTATACTGCTTACAATCTCAAGTAATTTTGTCACAATTATAACACGCTGAATAATATCTGCATGCACTTTAAAATCGGGAACATTTATCAATCTATCAAAGTAAACCCATTCCTCTCATAAATGATTAATACTAGTTCAAGGGGTGACAGTCTCTTTCAGTGGTGATTAAGAACAACAAAACCCACAAAATTATATGAACATAGAAACTGAAAGAAATTATGACAAATGTTATAAAAATAAATGATGGCACAGGCTTTCACTTGTAAAGACACTTAAATATAAAGTTGAGTTCTGGTCATGCGATTGCATTGTGAAAGATACGTTATGGAATCGATTAGAATCGTGCAGCCCGTATTGTTTCAAATGCAAGAAAATATGATCATGTGTCTCCCTTAATTAAAGAACTACATTGGTTACCTGTTCATTAGAGAAAGTATAAAGTTTCGCTATTTGTTTATAAATCCATGTATAACCTTATCTCATCCTATATTTCTAGTCTGTTTTGTCCCATCCAGCAATCAAGATATCCATTACGTTCAAGGTCAGACCCCCTTCTTCTGCAAATCTCCCGCATCAATTCGAAGAAGGGTCAACAAAATATAATTTTTTTCTGGTACCACTATTTGGAATAGTCTCCCATCAAGCATTCGTTCCTGCACCTCAGTCGCATCATTTAAGAGAAATCTAAAAACTCATCTGTTTTCTTTGTAATTGTTATTTTTAGAGTATAATGCACTTGGAGAGCATATAATTGTTCTGTTTTTATTTACTAATGTAAAGCGCTTTGAGCATGTTTATGTAAAGGCGCTATATAAATATCAATATGTATGTATGTATGTTGATCATCTATAAGTATTGGTGTGTACTGCAAGGTTCTCGAATCATCAAAATGATAAGAACTTTGGCCCAGTCTTGGTAAAGTTACAAGCACTATACACAGAAAGATGTATATGGGATAAGACGAACATGCGGGAAAAAAAAAATCCGTCCCGATTTTTATGACGTTACATGCCATATTTAGAATATTAAGGCATTTGAAGAGCCATGCTTTTCAGGTAACATTTGTTATCTGATATTCTTTCACACTTGCATAATACAATGGTAACGCTCACAAATTATTTTTTACCTCATCCCAGAACTGAACTTTCTCTTTGCCGTCAAAAAAGAAAGTATTATGAGCGAAACCAAATGTGAAAATCATTCGTTCGTTCGATCGAAGAATATCAAGATGTACATCATCTAATTCTAAATAGAAAGATGCTTATTTAGCCAACTTGACTATACACACCGGAGACACCGGGTATGCTTTCAAAGGGAGGGAACATGCATAAGAGTACCCTAATAACACTGAGTGGGGGGGGGGGGAGGGGGGTCTCATCATCGAGCCTTCGAAGTTCAGAAGCACCATGAGGGATGTCACACATTAAAGAGGTAATGCTTTTATTTAATCTTAAAAAGGGAATCTGCATTATAAATGTATCATATTAATGGCAAGAATTTCTGTCATGACAAATAACATAGTCAATGTTTAACAGAATTATATATGAAGATTGAAGTCCTATACAGGTCTCACTGTATGTACAAGTAGACATGTAATCCCTAATCTATCATTCTAAAAAGCTAAGTAATTCATTGATTGATACAATAGTAGCGGGAACAAGAAGAGATGGAAAGGGGGGAAAGAGTAATAGATATTAACAGGGGGCCTGGAAAGGGGACATGCATGCCGCGCTATCAAGGTCAATAAATAAAAAAGTTAAAAACATGACATCATCATACAATTTACTAATAAGTCATGGTCTGCTTTTTATCTTCTTTATTTCATTTTGAAAAATGTTCACAAATGTAATCTTAATGTACACTCAGGTATCAATTCCAACTTTTAAGGTGACATTGACTTTATTAAAGCGATCGCGATTTTCTTTTAGTAATTTCATTGATTTTTTTTTGTTCATCAAGATTTCGATAAACAATTTTTCTTTGATTTCCCCAACTTCTCTCGTTTGTTATCAAGTTTGGATTTTAGCAGAGAGATACATAGCGGAACAACTTAATAAATGAAGACAACAACGACCCAAATAAAGATAATATTTGTATTGGTAATATTAGGGTATTCCCATTATTTCGCAACAAACACCGAGGAAACTAACTTACCAATATCAGTGAGATAAAAGTTTGTCAACCTCAAAATAAGCTCGTTTGACTCAAATTTCCGTTATGGAAGGAAAAAGCAAATCTCTCTCTCTCTCTCTCTTTCTCTCCGTCAATTTTATTCACTTCCTTTGATAGTAATTTCAAAACATTCAACGTATTATGGTGTCGGTTATACCTGGTTATGCTCATTAATGAAACCTCTGTATATCCCGAATTAAAATATTTGGAAACACAAACTGATTATTTTTTTAATGTCATCTTAATTTTTCAGTCATCTCATTTGTGCTTCGATTCTTACTCCTGACATGTGCTCTGACTGCTCATGCCGCCTTCTTCTCATTTATTACTATCAACACTGATCCAAATCATTTCGATTATTGCGCTAATTATAGAACAAGCGCTGAATACGTCACTCAAACAAAGAA